GCTAGCATTTGCTAATTTGTTTCCACACAGCTGAGGCTGTTGAGAAAGTCATTAGTTTTGCAAATATTTGCTCATAAATCAACGGACTGGTCGAACTGATTTGCCAACAGGAACATGACAGTGATTAGTCCTCATTCTGAGAGGATGTCTGTACCGGATTCCATGGCAACCGGCTGATGTTAATCAACACGTTTCTGCTTCAACCACAAATGTCAGCCTCGTGGAAATCTCTGGACCGAAGTGAAAAGTGATGACACTGTGGCCCTGCAGGGATAAAACCACACGGATTCACTTGTTGAATTCCACTGAAAAGACACTGACTGCATATATGTTTGTGCCCCACTTGGCTCAAAGACTGAATAATCAAGCAATTGAATTTGAGCTTTAAATCCCTTCTGTAGGTGTAGCGCACATCATTTAAGATCGTAGCTGCTCACACACAGGCCACGATGGGTCAGCAGCATGTGTTTGGGTTGTGACCTTGTGCAGCAGAGGTCAGCGTGTCCGTTTAAGGATCAGCAAAGGCTTTCCAGTATCAGGACAGGTTGAATTATTAAGTAGGCTGCAGGGGAAGGTGCCTGCTGCCACTGCTTATACTCCATTACCATTCAGAAAGCAAGGAAGCACAGATGGTTCTTCTCATCTGCTGCGATGGCCACAGAGGGAGCTTATATGTGTCTATATGTGGGTGTGAGATAAACTAATGTATGTGTCAGGAGCCAGGCTGTAATTGGCCTATTTGTGCATCCTGCCCTCATACTGAAAGTGAAATTTCCTCTTCCAGTGCCCCCCTGCTGCTACGTTGTCCCACTTACAAATTCCTGCCGGACTCCTGTCAGCGATCCAGCTAAATAATCGGCAATCGAATCCCTGACGGCAAGAACGTACATCTGTGCTTGTGGCAGCACACCGGTGAGAGGAATCTCTTCATCTGTCAAGTCACCGTTAGTCATCGCCGGATCAAGAGCGCCGTGTCTTTGATTAGAAAAAATCAATGTGTGCACTGCGGAGGCTTTTCTCTGTGGGCTCATAGTGTATTGAAGAGAAGTATATCTGACAAAAACATCTACAGCAGCAAAATATATCTCTGCCTGGACTGCTTTTGTTCCACTCCATCAAACAACACAGTCGGAAAGTCAAAAGCCAGCGCTCGCTTTACCCATTGTCAAGTAGACACGACTCCTAAGTCATTTCTTTAAAGCGTCTTCGGTTATTCTCAGAACGCGACATGACGGCGTCGCTGGAGGAAAGCGAAAAGATTTGCGACATGAGCGAGCACACCTCGAGCAAATGCAACCGTCTCAATAGACAGCCAGCCTTGGCACTGAGCCCTGCTGACGTACGAAAGGCTGCGAAGGAGACGAGTGGCGAAGCGCGGAGACATCTCCGTCTTTGTGTGTGAAATTACATGAAAACAGATCGCAGCAGGTTGGGGGTCAGGGTGTGTTTAAACGAGAAAGGAAGTGGGGTAGGATGAAAGAGACGACATGCTCCGGGGAGACCATCCAAAGGTCTCATGACTCACTGGCACTTTGTAGCGTAGTGGACGTGGACAGGTAGCTACACACCAGGTGCACACATACAGATAGCTGCTCTGTACACACACACAGGACTGTACACTGTATATAGTGGTAAAAAAATAAATAAATAAAATCTCCACAATGCATCCTGTGTTTCCCTCACACACACACACACACATATATATGCACACACTGACTGACAAAAAAGTTCAGTGTTTTTAATGGGGGGAGAAAAAAAAGTGAAGAATAGACAGAAAACTGGAACAGGGAGAAAAGCAAATAAGTGGGAGGGAGGAGAGAATGCAAAGAGAGGAATGAGGTGTGTGAGAGAGAGAGTAAAAGAAGGAGAGAGAGAGAGAGAGAGAGGATGAGAGATGTGCAGAGGAGGCGGAGAGAAGCGAGGCGACGGAGGGAGGGAGGGAGGCGAGGCAGACGGGGAGGGTGGAGGAGATCAGCTCCACTTGGATGAAGGATTCCAGAGGAACGAGGACGGACTTCCAAGTGCGGGGATCATCGGGAAAACCACCCCACATGTGTGTCAGAGGGGCAGCTGGAAGGACGGGCAGATGGACCGAGGAGGAACTCCGGACCCTCCGCTGACACACACACTGACATGACCTTTTACATCTGGCTGTTTAACCTGAAGCGAACCTCCTAAAGACCTGCTGCAGAGGGAGAGGATTGTCTAAGTTGGATAACCTCTGTGGGATGACTGACCACCTGGACTGAAATCCAGCCTCATTGGAGGGAGTTCGCTCACAGAGTTGGATGCTTCTGTGGGCGCTATGGATATATACAGATGCTTGAGCTTACTGTGCTTCACTTTTCCTCTGCAAGGTAAAACATTTCTGTTTCATCTCTCGTTTTCTGTTTTGATGACAGAGGCTGTACATAAATGATAAGTAGTGGTGTATATATGTAATTTTTGCTTAAGATAGGCTGTGTTGTATTTGTTGGAAGAGCATTGAAGAGGCGGTTAAATTCATCTTTTATCTGACATGTTGCAGTGTTCGAGTCTTTCAGCACCAACAAACTTGGCACTTGGACTCATTCACTCATTGTGTGGCTGTTTACCCACTGAGCAGCTCTCTACTCAAAAACTGTTTTTTTATTTTATTATTAATTATAATTATGTTCATGCGAAATCACAGGGACAAATGATGTCAAAGGTCAGCGATGGGTTTTGTTTTTATCCTAATTGTCTTTGGACGATCCAGCCTCAGCTCCAGTGTTCATTAGCGAGGCAGCAAACTTTGCTGAATTCAACAAGATGCGTCACGCTACAGAGAGCACACAGTGTTTAAGATACGACAACTTGTTTTCTATAGTTTCTTACTGAATATGCGTAGAAACTGCCTCTGTTGCTATCCAGGCTCGGTAACCTGGTAACAAGCCTCATCTGTTGAGTTCAAGAGCAGCGTTTGCTTGGTTAAAACTGGTAGTTGCTGCTGATTGCAGTATTGGCCAATCAGAGTGCTCTGATCGAACGAGGACAGATGTGGGTCCAGAAGCTACGACACGTTTAAATAACTCGCGAAAGTACTCGGCTCTAGTTTTGCAAAACAAGATATTGGTGCAGCAGATATGAACTTTTCTGGACGTTTCACACGATTTAGCTTCTTTGATTTAAACTGTCTGCACTGATAAACACTAAGTTCACACAATGCATGAAAAGTTTCAGTAAGAAATGAAATGTTCTTCATCCTAGAAGACTGGAACCATCCCAACCTGTATCAGTGAACGTTGTCAGAGTCATGGCACCCCGTGAGCTCTCCCGTCCAACCCCGTTGTTTGGAGGGCTGCTTTATGGGAACATCCCTGTTTAATTGAATGTCGGCTGCATTCAACAGATAGCGCTCTGATCTGACGTAATTAATTCTCTCATCTGAAAACACGGAGACGTTTCAAGGGTGTTTGGCGTCCGGACACGTCAAACTGATTTAGGTGCAAACAGACGGAGAAGACGTGATGGAGAAAGAAAGTGTTTAATAAGATATTGACCCGAAGCTTTTAAAAAATTGTGGATGCCAGTTTTTTTTTCGGGCGATTAAAGGACAGCCCGTCAGCTCTGATTGAGTGGGTAGGAGGACCCAGGAGGAGGCGAGCAAGCACAACAACACCTTATGTTAAGAATACAAGTTAATAACGAGTGACAGAACGTAACACACCTGGAAGAATCTATACAACAGCTACTCGTGCACATAAAGCAACGGAGTGACTAAAACACAACGAGGTAATAAGGAAACACCCCCATATAAACAACGTTTTGCATAATATATTTCATACAATGCTGCACAGAGAAGGAATATGTGGCAGTTCCAGGTATAATGAGACATCACTGAGGCCTGTTAGATAAATCACAGCCTCTGATATGTTATGACGATGAAGCAGAAGCTGCAGCTCCAGAAAGACTGAATGAAAGAAGGAATAAAAACACAAAGGACATTGTGCCGTATAGGCCCTGGGACGACCCACGTCTCTTTAATTGTTGGTAGACCTCGTTAGGTCGTCCTCAGAGCGGAGAGATGCGACCAAGCTGCTCCGTCGCCGAAGCAGGGAGGCCGGCGTGAGAGGTGGTGATGATGAGACGTCTCAACAGATCGCTCCATCAGCACGTCTGTTTGGAGACACAACGGATGTCCTCAGACTCAGATTCATCCTTCCTCCCCCCCTCCACCTCCCCAACACACACACCACCACCACCTCCTCCTCCCCCACCTCCATTTATCTCATCCCTCAGATACTGTCTCATGTAACCATACGCCTCCTGTATAATAGAGGTCACCCTACTTTTAGATTACACTCCCCGTTCTCCGGAATAGTCACATCAGCTCAATACAGATTGTATTGTGTTGTTAATGGAAGCAAATATATTCAGTATTTATGTCGTGTATTTGACCAACACAGGAGCTGTTTTATGCATAAAAGTGCTAAAAAGAGAAATCACTGAACGTGGTTACGATGGTGCAGAAGGTCAGCGGGAAAGGATGCAGACAAGCAGCACAAAGTATTAGCAGTAACATCTGATGCATGTGTGGTTTTAAACAAATCACTTGTTTTGTAAGTTGGTTTAAACGGTGACAAAAAAGGCATCAAACAGGTCTGAACTGTCTTAATACCTTCTCCTCTGGCCTCAGTTTGTTCCCAGGTCGGACCACGTGCCCACGCTGAGGAGAGGCTGCTCCAGAATCTGTTTGCAAATTACAACAAGCTCTCCCGACCCGTGCAGAACACTACGGACACGGTGCTGGTCCACTTTGGACTGTCTATCGCCCAGCTCATTGATGTGGTGAGTGCAACCTCGCAGCCTTGCTTAGGTTCATAAACAGCCAACAATGGATGTCATTAAATTCCAACTGAAATTAAAATTGCTTCTTGTCACATGTCCTGTGTGTTCTCGCCTTCCACTACGGATGTGTTAGAGATTTAAAAATCCCCTTCACTACATGAACAACAACATTTGAGCAGCAGCCTTGAGTGGAGACTTGTTAAGACAACTGGTTTAAAAAAAACACACACACACAAAAAGACAGGGTTTTTTTTTTTGTTTTTTACTCCATACAAGAAGATGCAGACTGTGGAGCATTAGTTCTGCATCTATGTTGACATTGTTTACATACAGGTGATCGAATTACTTCAGGTTAAAAAAATATTTGCATAAAGTTTTTACCGTCACCGTTCTGTCATGGGCTGATTGTTTAACAAGAAAGCTTAAGTCTTGTTCTCATCACAACATGAAGACACACCTTGGCTTGTCCAGCAAACACTCACAAAGAAAAAGAGAATTTATGAACCAATGCTCATCACATTAACCAGCAGGTACTATTTGCAGCTCCATGAGCGGTATTTGTGCAACTGTGTAAATGACATGTATTTTATTGGAGCCCTTCTGTTGCATGTACATTCATAATAACCAGCTCAAAGCTACACCAAACACGAGGTGCATTTAAACACAGATCACCTATCAGGGGAAATGAAACCACAACAGAAGATACTGCATTGTTTTCCCAAATTAAATTCACTTGTCAAGTATGCCAACACTGGCGGTAAATATTCAAAGCTGTCTCCTGAACAGCTTTCCGCACACAGTCGGTCTCTCCAAAATAACATCTTTATTGTCTCTCGCCCCTATATGGCATCTTTGCCTTCCAGACTGTAAAACTGCAATGTGCATTTCACACGGCTGTCGTTGGGATTCTATTGATTAAGCTAAAGGGTTGTTTCGCCCCTTACTGCAGCGTTGAAAGATCGTACGGCCTCTGCACCGCTGCAGGTATGGTTTCCAGGTTTTTTGACACACAATTAGTTGACAGCGCTTGCATGGCAGTGAGAGTCAGCTCTGGGTGAAGTTGTCTCCGTCTCCTCCTGGAACGTTTCTCCTGCATCTTAAATGTTTTCTGTGGAAGAGCTGCAGGAAGCGGCTTTCTAGTGAAGCAACAGCGAGGGTGTTTCTGCATGAAATACTGCCTCGTGCTTTTTTTTTTCTAGGTTTGTTACACAACTGGTTGTCTTTATAATGTTGATTTGGTTTTTATAGCTGATTCATGAGATTATGTGGCAGCTTTAATAAAGATAAATGACTAGAAAAGGAGAAATTCTGCTTTGAAGCCCAGATTGACGCATGATTGGAGGAAAATGTCACAGAATTTTCTTTTCTGTGTCTATAAAAGGATGAGAAGAACCAGATGATGACCACAAACGTCTGGGTCAAGCAAGTATGAACCGACGTGACTAAATGCATGCTAGAGAGACAGTCCAGTACATTAAAAAAAAAAAAAAAAAAGCTGCAGGAAAAAAAAAAAAAAAAAAAAGCTGCAGGAAATATGACAAGTTCTCTCCCATAGGAATGGAACGACTACAAACTCCGCTGGAACCCCGAGGATTATGAGAACGTTACCTCCATCCGTATCCCCTCAGAGATTATCTGGAGACCCGACATCGTTCTCTACAACAAGTGAGGATCTGCATCAATGCCTTGTACATTAAATACAAGAAGTGATTCCAGCAGATGGCACGAGCGGAGGGAAGACATGCTGCTGTCCTGTACCAATGTCATAAAGTAATTTAGCTGAAATAAATGCGAACAAGGTCAGCCTTAATGGACGTGGGAACAAACAAAGCCTGATATCACAAAAAGCAATACATTAGGCGAGGAATTAGAAGATGAAATGTAATTGGATGGGAGATAAAATGTCCAGTGGGAGTGCCTCAGGTAGAACTGGATCAATTTCATTTAAAAAAAACAAGACAGGAAATCAGCTAATACAAGAAACCGTACCAGGAACATGCATGAACATTGTTAACGTCGTTACCCAGACAGGACATGAAACGAACACAGTTAAATTCAAAGAGAGAGAGAAAAAAAAGCGGTTTGTTGTTTTAAACTTTGCTAGATCACAAGTTCACAGTTCAGAATGAGCTGCAAATGTCCAGACTAGAGGTTACCGAGTGGTGCTCAGGTGTGTAAAGGCAGGTCTGCCGTGGTTTGAGAGGGAAGGTGTTCACAAAGGAGAAGAATCAATTGAACTGAAGGCAGATGTTAAAAGCGAGGAGGACAGGGCAGCTGATGCTTCAACACATTCACAGAAATAACGCTGTCCAGTTCTGTCTTTGTTATAGAAACAATATTTAACTGTAGTACGACAGACAGTGTAAATTAGCATAAATTAACGAGTATTCTCTCTTCTTCTTTGCAAAACTTTCATTTATAGAGCTGTAACAAAGGAAGAAGAAAAAGATCTGAATCATGTCCAGGGATGTTGACTATGATCAGAGATTAAATAGATTACACTTGGTTTATTACTTGTGATACAAAGGATTTTCACTATTTATACATCAGATAAGTTAATTACTCACCAAAAAATACTATTAGCTTCTAGTTACTGGAGCTCACCGACTGTAAAAACTGGTAGTTTCATGCATTATGAATGAAAGTTTATTCTTAATCTAAAGCTTTTTTTTTTCAATAAGATAAAATTAAAAAACACAAAATCTTTTACTTGCTGTTTCTGGAGATTTCAACTGAGAACATCCCATGAATCTCCATGACAACAGAGTGAGCTTCACCTGCTGAGGACGTGTCACGGCGGGTCGGGGAACCCAGGTGCAGATGCAGATGAGGCAGACGGGCAGGTGAAAGGTTTCAGGGAATTTATTAAATAACAGGATTAAAGCTTAATTCACAAAGGAGCAAAACTAAAAAAAACACCTAAGAAAAGTCTGAACTAAGAACAGAAGGGAAAACCTGAGAAACATAAAAACTGAGCTAAACCAACAAAAACGGGGATGCTCACAAAACGATGCAAGAACTGAAGGGGGGCAGACAGGCTCGGGGAATCTGGCGAGGGCTGGGGGAAAGCTGGAGCGAGGCTGGGGGCCAGGTTCAGGTTCTGGGGGAATGCCGGCTGGAAGCAGATTGGGGACCAGTGGCAGGAGAAGGCTGGCTGGGGGAGGATCCTAGAGGGGAAAGTATAGCTGATGCAGGGGGGGGTCCAGGTGGCAGTGGCTCGGAGACGGCAGGCAGGGGATGAAGGTGTATCTATGGTCTGGCAGGATGGGGTCGAAGGAACAGGGCTCTATAGCAGGAGGTGGATGATGGAGTGCAGGTGAACTGATCCAAGAGGGTGAGCAAGGAGGAGAGAGAGGGAGACAGGTGAGGGCTGAGGCTGGGGGGTCATGACAGGACAACTGTGCGATGAGATGACCCAGAGATCTCCAGCTCCGCTCCTCGTGAGCTACTGTCCTGCAGGTTTTAGATGTTTCTGCAACACACCTGACTCACATCAATGGATCTCCAGCAGCTTGTTGTCAAGTTCTACACATCTGTTAATGATCCATACATGTGAGTCAGGTGTGTTGGAAACGTCTAAAACCTGCAGGACAGTAGCTCACGAGGACCAGAGCTGGAGATCTCTGCCCTCACCAATGTAAAGTTCTGCTCAAGTTCACAAATAGCTAAAACCTCTCAGGACACCTTCAGAAAATTCAAACTGATAAATGTGTTTTCATATTTCTGCCTTTGTGTTCTTCATCTTCAGCGCTGACGGCGACTTCGCCGTAACTCACCTCACGAAGGCTCATCTGTTTTTTGATGGTCAGATAAAGTGGATGCCTCCGGCCATTTATAAGTCCTCGTGCAGCATAGATGTCACTTTTTTCCCTTTTGACCAGCAAAGCTGCAAAATGAAGTTCGGCTCCTGGACCTACGACCGAGCCAAGATCGACCTGATCAGCATGGACAGCAGCGTGGACCAGATGGACTACTGGGAGAGCGGCGAGTGGGTCATCATCAACGCAGTGGGAAAGTACAACACCAAAAAGTACGAGTGCTGCACCGAGATCTATGCAGACATCACCTATTACTTCATCATTCGGAGGCTTCCCTTGTTCTACACCATCAACCTCATCATCCCCTGTCTGCTCATCTCCTGTCTGACCGTGCTGGTGTTTTATTTGCCGTCACAATGCGGAGAAAAGATTACCTTGTGTATCTCAGTGCTGCTGTCCCTCACAGTGTTCCTCCTGCTGATCACGGAGATCATACCGTCGACGTCGCTGGTGATTCCGCTGATTGGCGAATATCTGTTGTTCACCATGGTCTTCGTCACGCTCTCCATCATCATCACCGTGTTTGTGCTGAACGTGCACCACCGGTCGCCACAAACTCACGGCATGCCTCACTGGGTGCGGAGAGTGTTCCTGGACTTGGTGCCCCGAGTCCTCTTCATGAAGCGTCCGCCGGGCACGGCAAAGCAGAACTGCAAGAAGCTCATTGAGATGATGCACCGTCCGCCCACGATATCTACAACGGGCAACTCACAGGCCTTCTGGAGCGGCTTGGAGACGGGCCTCAGAGAGATGGCCAAGACAGGGAACACGCTCCCAAAGACTCCATCCGACAGTCCAAGCATCCTCGTCTGCTCGCCTTCTCCCCCCGCTTTCCCTCTTGAGAACCACAACGAGGAAGATCTCCCACCAAAGGCCAACATGTTCTGCCAACCCATGTCTGGTCAGTATTCAGTCCTTTTAGAGAAACAAACCCTGCGGGGACACAACTCCGCAGCCTCGTCCTTTTCACAGCTGTCCTTGCCCCCGTCTTTGCCACTGGGCCCGGTTCGCAGTCTGTCCAGGGACGACACCAGCACACTGGCCCCCAATGGTCGCTCTGTCAGCGCAGAGCAAATGTGTGACCAGCAGCAGCAGCATCCTCCGGGGGCTGGACATCGGTGTCGCTCCCGCAGCTTTCAGTACTGCTGTCTGCACGATGACGGGCTCGTTGGCATCACAGGGCAAATGAAGAAACCAACTCCGATATATCAGTCAGCAGAAACCCTCACAGCAGAGGCCACCAAAGACGCAAGTACACAACAAGACACTGTAACTCCAACCATATCCCCAGCAATGCAACAGGCCATCGACGGGGTTCAGTACATCGCCGACCATCTCAGGGCAGAAGATGCAGACTTTTCAGTGAGTTGAGAGAAATTATTTTTATTCATTAACCAGATGGTAACGACATCATAATGATGGTTATGATATGCAGAATCTATGTTTCAAATTGCAGCTCAAAATACTGCACACATTGTTCACTTTACCCGACCTGTGTTACCACCGGTTCTAGATCTGACTGATGACTGTCTGTAGCTTTACATCTGAGTGGATCGCTGTTGCATGCCACGCCTTGAGGAGGAGAGAATGATCTTTTCTCATATTTTGTAGGTCTTTAGACATACTGAGGACACGTAATTGTGTTCATACAATGGAAAACTGGATTTTACATAATATAGCCCAATATCATCTAATATCTTTAGTCCTTGTAGAATGCACAACAGGGCAGACTCTACTTTTATCACCGATTCGATACGTTCACACTGCAGGACTTGATGCTCAATGAGGATTTCTTTGTGACTTCCTTCACGTTTCCAGTTCAGTGCGACTTGTATGTGATCTGCTGTGTGAACTTCATACGAGCCAAAAGTGTCCCGCATGCGCAGAAGAGGACACGACGACGTCACACGCAGCGAGCGTGCTCAGTGTTTATGGAAGTAAACATGGATGGTAACGGTGGAGCGTATCTGCCACTCCCCCGCCGCCACCGATGGAGGAAACAGAAGTGTGAGCGCTAACTAAACTAGCATCAGCAGCCAAGTACTGCCTGTGTGTTCTGGACACTTCCACCCCGTCAGAGCGCTGCCCCGGGGTGGAAGTGTCCCCCGACCAGGACGAATATTCTGATATTCATCATTAATTGGGCCTGAATATCCAGAGAGCAGAAAGTTCTATTGGGACCAGAACTACTAGTTATTATAACAACTGTGAACAATAAATATTAACAACTAATGAGCCTTCCAGCATCAAGCCCTCCTCGTAGCTGTACCTCCGTCTGGACAATCCGACAGCCTTGATATCCGACATAAAAGAAGGTTTTACATTTAGTGTCGGATTATCGAGTCACGACTGTATTTGTAATGTAATCATTTGTTTAAACTCAAAATGTCTCATGTACAAGTCCATTAGGCAGTATTGTACCCCAGTGGGTTGGCGTTCCTAAAATATTTGTAGAACACAGCTCCCTCCCCTCACATTCAACTGAAGTGGGGCAGCAGAGGTACATCAAATAAGGGGTTAGACCAGAATTCACACAGAGAAATGGACTCCAGTGTGTGTACAGAAAGCAGGAAGCATGGAGGGAAAGCAGAGGCAGAGGTGTAACCATTATTCCTAGTGACTAACGTATACGCTGGACTAACAAGACTCCGTGTTTTGTGCACTCACAGCAGCAACAACACACATCTCACCCTGTTCCTCATGGAGGTGAATACACAGTGCAGGTTTGCATAAACAGGCTGTGTGGGGAGTTTAATTCAAACTAATTGGCCTGAATATGTTTGTTACCTTAATGTGGTTTATATAGTTTGTCTGCAGTGTACTTCATGCTGCTCACTCTTTCTTACACAGTGTCCACTCTCATGTTTGATCTTCCTGTTGATCAATGACGTCATGCATGACTGATTGTGACGCTCTTATCAGAATGTGATCCTATATATAGCGATACTTTTGAGATTTTAGCTGCTGGATTGCACCTTATATACGTCTCCCATGATTTTTGGCCTTCCTACAGACGTGTGGCCTTTACCTCTGAGGATGTGCACGCCTAAAAATCAGACTGGATGCAAAGTAGCTCTGACAACTGACAATTTCATGAAACTGTTCCTTGTGTCATGCTGTAAGTCTTTGCAGAGCAGAAAGAAACATCACTCGTCTTTATTGCCTTGAAATTTGTTCTTCTTGTTGGGAAACTGCTCAGCATCCAATAGCTAAATGATGCTGAACTAACTGCCGAGTTGGTGGGAAACGTGCAGGGTTTCTGTATGCAACGGGAGAAGATGTCTAAACATGTAAAATATAATGAAAACTTCTTGTATTTAGTCACTGTCGGTGCTACAGTGCACCGTCTCCAGGCCCGTCTGTACAACAGTAATCTGACCTTGAATTTTTTATAAGAGAGACAAGCGAGGATTGACTGACATTTAGGAGACAGCGGCCTCATAATGAAAAAAATCAGCCATTTGAGAGAAATCAATCAAGGGTGAAAACTGACAGCTGGTAAAAGTCGAGGCGGTGTGAAATGTGAAAAGCCTCCTCTGTGCTGTGTCTCCTCTGCGCCAGGTGAAGGAGGACTGGAAGTACGTGGCCATGGTCATCGACAGGATATTCCTCTGGATGTTCGTGCTGGTCTGCATCCTGGGATCCGTGGGACTCTTTCTTCCTCCTTGGTTGGCTGGTATGATCTAGAATCTCAGCATCGAGGACGATGGACACCGACAGGAGAACGCGATGTCTTATATTGTAAAGAAATAAAAAATAAAAGAAAAGGTAGAGGGGGGCTGTCATTTATCTCTTTATTTTGTACTTTTTCAAAGCAACTACAAGTCACAGTCCTTGCTCTTATCCTGGGTTATGAAAAGGTTGCTCACAGAGAAACAAGATGAAATATCTATCATTGATTGCAGAAGGTTTATAAAATCTTTATGAGGGCAAGAGGCCAACAGGAAAAAAAGAAACTTCCACGCCACTCCATTTTAACACTGAGCTCCAGCTGTCACCCTGATAGACTCTGACCCAGTTATAACTGCAGATAAAACCACAGAAAGACCGAGTCTCAAAGCATCGGGAGATATTTCTACGACCGTATCGGGTCTGAGTTGTATATCTCACCTTCAACACTCCTAAAGCAACGTGTCAGTGCTGCTGTGTGTGGACAACAGCGCACCACACGAACTACATATTCATAAAATTCATTAAATAATCATGTTTCTGTGCATCCTGACTCTTCGGACTTCTGTGTAATCGGAGCTTTGTGCCACAATCGCTGCATAGGAGAAGGATTTAAAGTCACTCCCTCCAGGTCTGTGCAGTCCTCCTCCTCCCCTCAATCACAGAAACTAAAAGAACATTTAAAAAAAAGGTGAGGACACATCTAATTTTTAATTTTTCATAATAAACAGAACGGAGACAAGCATGAGTTCTGCAGCCAAAATGATAAAATCTAAAACATTGGTGTTGATACTGAATAGTGATAAATTTGCACCACATTAATTATGACAACATTTGTATTATAAAAGAGAACAGCCTCTACGTTGCATTTCTGTCCAATCAGCTCAGGAATTCAACAGCTTTAGGAACGTAAAACAAAGAAAAGAAAAGAAAAGATGCCCTTTCCTGGCGGCGACGGGGTGAAGGGCCGAGGATGGAGTCAGCTCTGAATTAAACATCTAGAGTGATGCCAGGAAGCAAACAGTTTACGGTGACTGTTAATTAAAAAAACAAATTAGTGCACGATCCCCGAGCTATCACGCGTTCTGATGTTAATCGACGTGGTGAAGCCGTCGCTTCATAATTGAATAGCTCCAACGTTTCATTATCGCTCTCTGTTCGTTCTCACATGGACCTGACTTCTGTAGCTTTGCTTAATGAATCTTTTTCAGCATCTACACCAGCTAACAATCGAGCTAAAAACACCATTTAAACTTGCTAACGATCATCCCATTAGTTCTGTGTTTCAACTATTAAGCAGAGATTAGCTTCAGGTCAACAGAACGGTGAGCTGGATGCTGGATACGAGGTGCGTGGACTTGTCCTTCTGTAATTTTAAAGATGGTGGCCTGGCATTAGGGGCGTGGCCTGAGGGATGGCAGGTTGGTCTGTCTGTCAGTTGGTTAAAAAAACAACAAAACAATTACTGGATTCATCAGGATGAGGACGTTCATGGCTCCCAGAGGATGAGTCCTGATGATAATGATTTGAGGTGATGTTTGCACACGATCTGGTACAAACATGCTGCTACCCTGAGGGTTACTTCGATTGTCCTTTCACCTTCAACTTTGCGCCATTATCAGGTCAGAACTTGTAAAGTTCTGGGTTGGAATCTGCTGGTTGGCTGAAGCCTTTCTACGTGAGCTTCTTTGTATGTTCTCTCTGAGGCTGTGTGGGTTTCTCTGGGTTCTGTCCACAGATATAGTGGTTGTTTAATTGGCACTTCTTAATTGGCTTAATTAGCTATAAATGTGCATCGTTGATAGACCGGTGACTCGTCCAGGGTGAACCCTCTCCTCCCCTCTCACCTCCACATCATATCAGAATAAAACAGGATGAAGCTACTGGATGGATGAATCAGGTCTCCACTGCTCTGGTTGATGCTGAAACGTTCACCAGCCTTTACTTGCACTTTGCGTTTAGTACAAATTATCAAATGCTACTTTGGTCACACACTAAACGAAGACCTTGAACATGTTCATCGATCTACCTGCCAAACACCACCATGTTGGCATTCATACTGAGCTGCTAACGACATCATACAATCAGGTAACGATGAAACAGCTGTTGCTTTAATATTATAGGATCATACAACAACAGTCTCCTCCTACTTTACACTAAATGGGTTTGAGCATAAATGAAGTGGTAATGAGGGGAAAAAGGTTGTTGTTTTATGACCTTATGTCAGGATAAGGAGGCAATCGTCATTAAAAAAACAGTTGGTTTGGAACAACATTATATATATATTACTTAAAAGGGTTTACTTTTGGCCGTTTGTGTCCCAAAACAATGGATAGATGATTTATCTGGGAGCTCCTAAACAATTTTATAGAATTGTCATGAAACACTGAAAAACAAACAGCTGAGGGATGAATGTAGTATTTCTGGCAGCACAACAGTTGGTTAACAAAAAACTATGTTGGACGAGATCTATTCCCTAAATTCAAAATAATATTTTTCCTAAATTTAGAATTTATTTTAGCAGATGTTCAACTGAAACAAGAGCATCCCTTTAATATTTTGTCAAACATCCTTTCTTCTCTAACACATGATGTACATGAGCTGTTTAGGTTATTGTTGACATCAGTGTTCTGACTTGTTCTGTTAAACCATCTGATACCTGACTGAGGTTTCTTTGATTGTTTTGTTCGTCTGCCTGCGTCTTGAGTTTCAGATTTTTAACATTTTCTTTTCTTCTTCTGTGAGATGTTTTTAAAAAGCCTCCTTCGGTTTCTTTATCTCGCCAGAACCCTTCCTGACACTTTTTTTGTTTGTTTGTTTCCATCAGTTTTATGTACAATAAAAAAAAAAACTGAAAGAGTTTGTATGAGACATAAAACCGCTGCACTGAGAGTTTATTTATTTTAACGGATGCTGAAAGACAAGCTGACAAACATCCTTGAACGGATGGAGGATGAGCGATGAAAGTCCAAAAGACGGATGAAATATGAGGAACAAAGCTTCAACGCAAAAAAGTGTTTTTATCTGTTTACCAGCCATTCATCATTAACTCCTGTCTGCTTGCTCTCACACATCCTGCATCCCTCGGATTGGAAAGCACGTAACGCTACACCTGAATGTTCAAAGCGACGACCTCGAGTTTGACCTCAGCCAACAAACGATTGCATTTCTCCTCGCTCAGCAGAGGAATGACATTGATCGTTACGTAAAAATCACAGGCGGGAGAAAATGGCACAATATGGAAACACAGCACTGTAACGCCGACAGTGTATTTATTTATTGATTTCAGCGCACAATCTGTAGAAGAAAGGCTGAAGTTAGCCTGAAATGCAAAGTAGTAATCAGGCTTTTGTTGCAGCTTCATAAGACAGACACGTTTAAAACTGTCTTTTTTTTCTGTATGCAAAAATTCACACATGAACGGATATTAAATCCATCGGGCCTCCAGTGTTCAATGGAAACACACAGCACATTGTTAACTGAACTCTGAAAGGAAAGCCGGGCGGGCTTTATGAAACTACAAACTAATTTCCATGAGATGATAAGACGTGGGATCTCACATGCATAATGTCAGTCATAACATCAGCTCCGTGTTGGTCCTCTGTGCTGGATCCCTCAAGAAAAAGAAGCAAAGTGGGAGTGCACAAAGTTATTAATAGTCTTTGGAGATATATATGCCAGCTTTGGTAATTAATTCTGACGAGGAGAGGGCTTTAAACTTTGGCTAATTCCACTGATTTGATGCTTGATGAACCTGATTTTAATGCTGCTAGCTGCTTCCTGATTCCTACGTATCTGCTTTACGGTTATCTGATTACAATTATCTAAAATATTAAGACCCCTTTCTTTCTGTACACCTTTAACTGCTGTGGATTTAATTAAAAATGAATAAACTGATTTTCTATCAGGCTATACCCAGCAACCCATAATGGCAAATTTATAACGTTTATTAAAAATCAAAAAGCTGAACTTTCCCCACGTATCAAAGCGCTCGGAGCCGTTGCTGAGGTGGAATCAACCTGATTTAATTGGACATATGTGTAGTGGCTTACAGGGCGGCTGAGGCTCAGGTGGTAGAACAGGCTGTCCACTAATCACACGGTTTGCCATTTTATCCGCGGCCCCTCCACATGTTGACGTGTCCTTGGGCAAGACACCGAGCCTGATGTTGCTCCCAGTGGCAGGAGAGCACCTTGCATGGCGGCTCTCATCACTCATGTATGAATTGGGGAATGGGAAGTATTGCAAAGTGCTCTAGTCAGTTTACTCACCACCCACACTGCATGTCAGGACAGAAACTAAGTAATGAAGTCCAAGGAAGTGTCCGTACATGTTTATGATGAAACTCTAGTGAGGCGGCCTTGACTGTTCTCAGGAGAACAGTGTCCTCAGCACTTTGGAACCACCAGGCCTCATCCTTGGCCCGCTGACCAAACTAAATAACTAAGCAGCTCTGTCCTTGGTATGGTATGTGTCCACAGGAAAAGCCCTGCACTCCACTTTGTAGCCTCATGCACCTCATTAGGATGAAGTTGACTCAACCTTAACTTTGTGCAAAGGCAGCAGCGCGGTGAGCGGATCCAACACCTCGTGATACTTTTGTAGAACCTCGTTGC